CCAGCTCAGCCCACCAGGTGCTGGGGGACTGAACCTCGGTCCCTGTGCTTTGCTAAGCTTGTTCTAATTAGGTGCTTTAGACCACTGAGTCATCTCCCCGGCCCAGCACTCAGACCCTTGCGCTTGCCAGGGAAGCGCTTATTCTCTGAGCCATCTCCCCGGCCCGCCTCAGCCTCATTTCTTTAGTAATCCTGGCTTGTAATGAGGGTGTAGCTAGGAAAAAATTCTCATGTTGTGGAAGCAAAGCGAAGGGGGGGGAGGGGTGTGCTCTTGGACCATATTCCCTCTCTCCCTGGAAGCAGAAGAAATAGAGTGGCAGCAGAACGGGAGAGGACAGCAAAGACCACAGCGGGCAACAGGCAGGACGCAGGCAGAGGAGAGGCCTGGGGAGCCAAGAGGCTCCTCGCTGTCACCAACAGTGGGACTGACAAATCTGAGCGTGACTGAGGACAGCTCGGGCAATTAGGGTTAGCGTGATGTGAGTCACAAAGGATTCTTAATCTGAGGTTTATGGTGGAATATAAACTTTTGGAGTGTTTGTGAACTTCTTATTCTTATTCTTATTACTATTATTGTATTTTTGGCAGGCTTGTTATTACTGTCTTTTTTTTTTTTAGACAGGCTGGCCTTGAGCTCACTTTGTAGCCCAGGCTAGCCTTAAACTCACAATGATCCTCCTGTTCCAGGCTCCCCAGTGCTGGGGTTACAGGCATGCATCACTATACTTGGTTTTGGGGCTGGCATGGCACCCCTGGGGTTTCTGAGTCAGCATGACTTGCAGTACTGGAGATCGAACTCGGGTCCTTGTGCTTGCCAGGCAGGTGTTTAGACCACTGAGCTAGCTTCTCAGCCCTCCTAGCACAATTTTTTGAAGAGATTATTCTTTTGCTATTGAAAAGTCTTGGTAAGAACAACCTAGGATATAACATAAATAGATTTACAAAGAAAACTAGCCAGGCATGGATGATGCATGCCTGTAACCTCAGGACTCAGGAGGCTGAGGCAGGAGGATTGCTGTGAGTTTGAGGTCAGCCCGGGCTATACAGTGAGTCTGATGCAGTCGGAACTGTGTAGCAAGACCCTGTATCAAATAAAGAAAGAACATGATGAATGTTTAAAAAAATGTGCTGGGAAAATACAAGATAGGCATGCAAAAGCATGAAGTTGAGCCTTATTTTACAATATAAGCAAAAAAATTCAAACTGAATCAAAGACTCCAATTTAAGAGCTGAAATTATAAAATTCTTAGAAGAAAACACACAGGAAAATATAAATGATCATGAGTTTTGACAACAGTTTTCTAACTAGCACTAAAAATCCTGACAATAAAAAAAGTTGAATTGGATTTTATCAAATTAAAAGTGCGCATCAAAGGAAACTATCAGTGGAGTGAAAGAACAACCTACAGAATGAACAAAGTAGTTATGAATGATAGACAGACTAAAGAACTAAAATTTAACAATGAAAGTACAACCTATTTCTTTTACATGTATTTAGTACAGGGTCTCACTACACAGAATGGACTCCTGTTTTCAGCCTCCCAAGCGCTGGGATTACAGGAGTGTGCCACCACGCCCTGTCGCAGTCAGCAGCTCAGCGTGCCCCGGGGGTAGGGCCAGCACAGCACACTGGGGAGCCAACCCTGGTCCCTGAGCTCTGCCTAAGCAGGTGCTTTAGTCTGCTGAGTTATCTTGTTAACCCTTTAACCTAATTTTTTTTTTTAAATTTTTTTTAATCTTTATTTGTGTGTGTGTGTGTGTGTGTGTGTGTGTGTGTGTGTGGCGTGTTCTTTTTTTTAATTTTTTTTATTTGTGTGTGTGTGTGTGTGTGTGTGTGTGTGTGTGTGGCCAGCTCAGCCCACCAGGGGGCGTGGCTGGCTGGCATGTGGTGCTGGGGGATTGAACCGTGGTCCCTTTGCTTTGCTAAGCTTGTTCAAATAGGTGCTTTAGACCACTGAGCCATCTCACCAGCCCTAACCTAATTTTTTTTAAAGACAAAAGAAATGAAGATATATTTATCCAAAAAAGATACACAAATGACCAAAAAGCACAAGAAAAGTTATCACCCTTAGTCATTAGAAAAATGCAAAGTAAAAACAAAAACCACAATGAGATGCTATTTTATACTGGCTAAAATGTCTACAGTTGGAAAAAGTTTTTTTTTTTTAAAAAGGCCAGGGAGATGGCTCAGTAGAATAAGTGCTTCCCTGACAAGCGCAAGGGCCTGAGTACAATCCCCAGTCCCCCCCCCCAAAAAAAAAAAGAAAAGAAAAGAAAAGAAAAAGTTAGGGATAAAGGGGCTGGAGAGATGGCTCAGTGGTCTAAAGCACCTACTTGAAACAAGCTTGGCAAAGCACAGGGACCGCGGTTCGATCCTCCAGCACCACATGCCAGCCAGACCCGCCCCCTGGTGGGCTGAGCTGGCCACACACACACACACACACACAATAAATAAATGTAATAAATAAAAATAAAATAAAAAAAAAGTTAGGGATAAAAAAACATTGGAGAGGATGAGGAGAAATTAGAATCCTTGTACATTTCTTTTCTTTCTTTTTTTTTGTGGAACCGGGGATTGAACTCAGGCCCTTGCGCTTGCCAGGGAAGTGCTTATTCTACTGAGCCATCTTGCCCAGCCTCTCCTTGTACATTTCTGGTGGGAATGTAAAATGGTGCTGGGAGTGTGGGAAAATTTGCCAGTTTCTTTTCATTTTTATTATTTTTTATGTATTTAGAACAGGGTCTACATGGTCTCAGTATGTAGATTGGACTCATAGTGTTCCTCCTGTTTTTCAGCAAGTGCTGGGATTACAGGTGTGGGCCACCACGCCCAGTCTCAACTATTCTCTCAGTTTGCCCCAGGGGTGGGACCAGCACAACAGGCAGGGGATCCAACCCTGATCCCTGCGTCTGCCTAAGCAGGTGCTTTAATCTGCTGAGCTATCTGGCCGGCCCTTGCTAGTTTTCTTTTCTTTTTTCTTCCCCCGGGAACTGGGGATTGAACTCAGGTCCTTGAGCTTGCAGGCAAGCGCTTATTCCACTGAGCTATCTCCCCAGCCCCGCTTCCTAGTTTCTTAAAAAGTTCAGCATAGTTACCAGATGACCTGGCAATTCTAGGTGCTGAGAACGGGTTGGGCCTGCTGGTCCACACCTGTAGTCCCAGCACTCCCGGAGGCTGAGCAGGAGGATGATAAATTTGAGCTCAGTGCAGGCAATTTAGTGGCTTAGCAAGACCCTGCCTCAAGGGCTGGTGAGATGGCTCAGTGGTCTAAAGCACCTATTTAGAACAAGCTTAGCAAAGCACAGGGACAGCAGTTCAATCCCCCAGCACCACATGCCAGCCAGCCCCGCCCCCTGGTGAGCTGAGCTGGCCACACACACACACACACACACACACACACACATATATACACAAATAAAATTAAAAAAAAAAAAAAGACCCTGCCTCAAAATAAAATTATAAAAAGGGCTGGAGATGTAAATCATAATGAAGGTACTGGGAAAAGAAAAGATTGAAAAGAGGACACAAACATTATGCAGCAGAAGAGTGATGAACACCTCTGATCCTGTCCAGCCTCCAAACACCTCTACAAAGCTCTAGGAATACAGTAGCATGGGGGCCAGGGAGATGGCTCAGTAGAGTAAGCACTTGCCTGGCAAGTGCAAGGCCCTGAGTTCAATCCCAAGAAAGAAAGAAAAAAGAAGAAAATGGAAAACAGTCCCTGCCTTGCTAGCCCTGCCTCCGGGGCACGCTGAAATGGCAAGTGAGACTGTGTTTGGTGGCACGTGCCTGTAATCCCAGCACTTTGGAGGCTGAAAACAGGAGGATCACTAGGAATCTAATCTACATAGTGCGAACCCTGTAGACCCTGTCCTAAATACAGAAAA